TATATATATATATATATATATATATATATATACAATACATATACAGATGAAATAGATGTTTCTATATGTATACATGATGAAACTTTTATCAATGATTTATCTGGAAATATCAGTCAGGAAGGAATAGAAATGAAATGTTTAATGAATTATATTCGTCAATCCAGTGTTACATTTCTTCTAATCACGATATTTTATTTCGCACACTTAATACATCACTTCGTTCAAACTAGAATTTAATAAAGAATATTTCCGAACTGAAAGTAAATCAGTAAAGTAGTTCAATTAGCCAGCTTTTTTAATAAATAAACGTAAACAGTATGGAAAATAAAAATACAAACATATTTTTTCAACTGAGAAATATATCTTTGATTGAAATTCGCGCTCAAATTTCTGAAACTTATAACAAAATTCTGAAAACTTTAACAGATATAAAACTAATCCACCAACATTCCCTGCAATACTCACATCTTTTTTAGATCAAAGTGTCAGTAAGTGTTATGCACCGATACAGCCTTGAACAGCACAATACAGAAATAGAGGTATTTTTATAAATTAAATAAATAAATAAGTAATTATATAATGTCATCTCCTTCATCAAAATTTGTCGTTATATATGCAAAATTTACCAATACAAATATGTACCGGTAAATTCCGAATAGCTTATACTGCGATAGATTTTGATTAGCAAATAAATCCTACTTAATGGATATACAGCAACAAGTAAAAATTTATCAAGACGTCATGATTTACGTTGATAAATTTCTAATTTGCTGTAAATTCCAAAAGAGAATTCTTACGAATTCAGAGTACTTACTGTTTCAATTCAAGAATAATGCCATGGCTGATTATGTTTTTAACAAATATGCGTTTCTCTTACCACTCGCATACGCCTTATCAGCCTTAAGTAAACGTTCTGATGTTAAAGTAATCAACCCTTCAAAGTAATAATTATTAATAATACTCCCACCTTACTCAAAATTCCACTTTTATGTGTCGGAAACATTGCTCTCTCGCGGTTTTGACGCAGTTTAGTGCAGCAACAGTAGCACTGAGCCACAAACCCATTTCAATAAAAATTATATGAAAAAAGACATCTCAATGAGATGAGTTGTACGTCATTGACTTTGCCAATTTCTTTAGTGTTTGGAGTTTTAGATTTTAATTTGATCGTAAAAAGTTATTTAAATTTGTTCCAAATATTCAGGTGTTATATAACAAAAAATGGATTGATAGAAAAAAGAGGCACATATATTTTTCTGGATGATTAAACGGGAGCTAAAAATGAAAGGAATGTTTTGGTTGATCAATAAATTTCAGATAATGAATGAGTGGGAATATTGATTAAATTGAGATAGTGTGGTCAATTAGTATTGGAATAAAAATTATCAAAAATTATTTTCATAATTTTAGATGCCAATAAAGTTTTAAATTAGTGCGAAATGAAAATTGTTTTCGACCTGTAATTTATCCAAACATACCTTTTTTATGGATTTTGCGAAAATCCGATTTATTAAAAGTCGAAATTTGTTTTCAAATAGAGTAGTGACAGAAAAAAGATGTGGCATCAGAAAGTGGAAATAAAAATGTCGAACCAATATGTAAAATGGATAGAAATGAATTAGCGCTAATGGGCCTAAAAGTGTTAATTGACTAATAATAAGAAAAACACTTTGATAAATTCCACTCAATCCAACGATTTACAACAATTGGAACCTTTTTTTCTTTCCATGAAGCTCTGTTTATTCATTGTAATTGAAGAGAAATATTCATTCATTTGTGGCTTACCTCTCAAAAACAGACACCTTTGCGTCATCTTTGCAATCTTACAGTTTCTCGTTTCGCTTACTTCACTTCTTCAGGTCATTTTCTCTTACTTACATTTATCATTTGAGAGAAATTGTCCAAAAATTATTGCATATAAGAATAATGGCAATAAACAAATATATATATCCGTTCAAATGATATTGACATTTCTTAATGATATTATTAAAAAAGATTTAAACAAACTTGATTTTATATTTCATCGTACAGCTCGTCGACTTTATGACTTCATTAAAATGAAGTAAATTGATGATTAAAATTGTGGAACTTTTTCCGAATTGTTACACATAACCATATCCGGTGCATAGTTGTGTTAATCCTAAGGAATCTTTGAATGGATAAAAAATTTTTTTGATTGTGTATGTAAGAATGCTTTCAGATTGCTTGAGATTAGAAATTAATGAGACAATTTTAAAAAATTTTATTGAAAAAAAACTACTTACTTAATTTTCGCTTAATTGATAATTTATTCTAAATTTGATTGCTAGGCAAATAATTTTTTGCTGAGGACTGTTGCTGCATGCCGACATGCTAAAAATATGATTCGCTTTGAATTTGAATTTTTGAAAAATGACCATATTAAGCAATTTCTCTTTCTTGCAAGATTGATACCAATAGACAGATTGAATTAAATATATAAGCAATTTAGCATGCTTATTCGATACGAAAACACAATACCATATTTGCATGCCAGTCAAACATTACAGCAAATTCATCTGCATCTGAGATGGTAAATCTTTTTTCGTTTTTAGAGAAATAAATTATTCCTAAAAGATAATATGTACAGTTCAATTAGCGAATAAGTTAAATGGACTTGCTTACAGGATTTTACGTTTTAATTTCAGTTTTTAGCCTACGATATTATCATATTTGATTACGGCCTAATGCATCACGTATTAGGAACTAATGAATGTATAGCAAATTATTTGGATGGTGGTTTTATGCGCTCCGTTTGGTGTTTGTTGCATACCAGTTCATTGTTTTTGCTAATAATCGCATCGTTTTTCTTTACAAAACCAATCTGGCTACTTTGGCCAGGTAAATCTTCAATTTGAACTATCATTGTTATTCTTATCTTTGGTTACAGATATAAAATCATTTAGAATCTTCTCCATCCCACAATAAGCAATTCATCTCCGTTAAAAGGATCAAATTTGCAGTATGAAATTATCTTGACTACTTTCCCAATCCAAGAAATATTGAAATTTCTTCCAACAAATTTTTTTTCAGCACTTTTGATGCAATCATCGTATGCTCTCGGGTTAGCGGTGTTAACAATGGCAACAGCGCCAAAGATGCTTGACGCATTGAGTGGTAAAATAGATACGGAATTCGGTACCGCATTTACTGTTTATGTGATTGGTTTCATTTCCAACTGGCTTTTCACTTTTGTCTTGTGGCATCACTATTGGTATATTGAGGAGAAATTGAAAGTTATCTCTTCCAAACATGTTTCAACCGGTTATAACTGGAAAAACTAAATTAGCATAACACTAAATGCGCAGATTTTATACAGTTTAATTATCAATAGTTGATGCTTTATATTGTAGCTAACATTATAATGTATACTGATCAAATGTTCAATCAATAGATAAATTTTCTATTATTGCAACGCACTTTGTCTTTTGACTCTCAATAGTTCTGGTTTTCGAAGAAACAGAGATACAGACACAGAGAATTTATTCATGAAAATAAATTTCTTTGCATATATTTTTTAAATATTTAAATATTTTTTCAATATCCAAATATTTAGATGTTTTTCAAATATTCAAATATTTTTTAAATATTCAAATATTTTTTAAATATTCAAATTCACCCACATCGTAAAGGTAATAAAAAGTGAAGAAAGAACTCAGTTAATCAGTTTGTGACTAATTTAACTTCGGCGCTCCTGATATCAAAGCGAGCGGTAAGATTGGCGGCTTTTCTACAGGGGAAACAAATTGGATGGTGGCTACCTCGGGACTTGCTTGAACTGAGGGCTATGGCTTTTTTGAAATTCGGCTGGTTTGTTATTCAGACAGTAACATTAGAAAAAATGGAAGGGAAATCCACTCCAATTTTTGACAAATTTGGAGCAATTGCAAACTGAACCGAGGTATTTTGCTTCTAAATAATGTCCTGAGGTAGCCAAGTTGGTGCTAAATTTGAAGTAAGAAGTTTATTAGCAAATTATTTAATGAGAAATTTGACAAAAATTCCTTTATTATTCTTGTTTCGCTTCTTATCAGCTAACTTCTAATATTTCAATAAAAAGCAATTTCCTTTTACATAATGACTGGAAAATAAAAAAACAAATTTTGCAGATTTCGGCAATGCCGAAAAAGCAACTAACAAGAACCTACTGAATACTATACTAACAAGAAAATACAACTTCTGAACCACCGGAGCAGCACTAGCAGTAGAAAAACCAACAAAGCCATCCCAAGACATGTCGCGATGAGGAAAGTGAATCACAACCGACTCCTTTTACTGACTAATTACATATGTAACAATTACCGACCGCTACTACTAATAAATGATTAAATTTTATTGGCTTCAACAAACGATTTGAAACTAAACCATCACACAAGAAGCAACGAAGTGTGTACATTGTTGTTTTTGCTCCTTCTATTACATTTGTTAGGTTCTCGGAAGGCGGA